TAGTTCGCATCTTACGAAATCGAAGAAGGCTGACGAAAATGGGCAGCCTCAGTGCGCACCTGTCTTGTCATTGTGATCGTTATACAGCTCGCCGTGGACTCTAACGTGACCCGATGTACAGAACTTCAGTGCGGATAGTATGTTCACGTAGTCGTTCGGTACACTGCTGCATTTAAACCATTCTGAAAGTAGCGAATGATCTACATAACTGAATGTATCCTCAGAGTTGAGATAAACGCTGGTCAGTTAACCGGCAGTCCATATGAGTCTGCCTCAGAAGTTGATGAAGAGTACAAAACAAATTTATATATGCCGATACCAGATGGAAACACATTCCTTCTATCCTATTGTCTGTTTTCGTGATAACAATATGTTCACGAAGTATTCTGAATGTCAGAACCATAGTTATAACTGCGGTCAGGTTAACCCCCTACGGTTTTCTCAATGAGCCCTCAGTGACCCACTTTCATGAGAACTTATTCAATCGTCTACACTAACCGGAAGAAATAAGTCAACACTCTCACCTTCTTTGCAATTTTTCAGCATGCAACCAACTAGGCCAGCAGCCTCCTCCAGTTTTACAATCGATCTTCAGCTGCGGATCACAAGTTGTGTCTGTGGTCTTAAGTCTGATAACTAGAATATAATACTAGGGGCAGCTAGCCGCAGCATGGCAAAAGTGAGGGGTTAGCCATCTTGGTCATCAGGATGTTTAGCCCACCAATCTAACCTCACTGATTGACTATGGGAGGGTGCGATATCCACGTCGCCGACAGTTTCAACGACGAAGATCCACTGTGGGTGATCGACTGGTATTCTCTGACTGAAAAGCGTTTTCCAGTATAATTAAATTTTCGACGTAACGAGGATACTGGATAAACGACTTGGCTTTGTCTAAGCTTCTTACAGACATTCTTCCTTCACCGCTGCGAATTGCCATTAGGAATTTTAAACCTTATATCTAATTTAGGAGCCTTCAATAAACCCAACGTTCGGTGATGCTGCGTGCTACTGTGTCTGCTGTTCAAATTGTTGGCCACATTCACATCCAGTAGTAGTCGGGGTCTGTGCTGTTAGAATAATCATGATTGCATTCTAAGCTAGCTTGGTATGCATTGTCTACCAACAATCTAACCGATGTCTTGACAGCTAGCTGTTGCAATCGGCAGGATCATTTTGTAGAGAAATTAACAACTAAGCAACACCCAACAACTACCTGGTCTGAGTCTGACTATGTGCTCTAATATGAACGACATTTCCAAGCAAAGCCACGTCACATAACTAACTTTGGTGTGGTTTATCTGAGACTAGTCCTGATGTGACGAAGATGGATTAAAAAGGAAACTGATATACACGACGTCTAAACCGGATGCTGGCCAAAATTACTCTGTGCCCCCAACACAAATTCAAACGTCGTCTACGGTTATCTAAGCTAGCTGAAACCTGCCATCTGAGCGAGACTCGGCGTAGTCTAGTGAACACACGGAACCGAAATATCTACGTTAGAACTGTGTGTCAACTTAAAGAACTGCGGTCAGGTTCGAGTAAAAAGCATTTTGATAGCGTTATTACTAGCTTTGTTTAAGGTATGGGTAAACAGCAAATAGATTTTTGACAGTTTAACATCAAGAAGTAGTCGTGGCAGATCCAGTCAAGCGAACGGCATAGAGCTTGCCACCAAGGGAATCTAATCTACCACTGTCGTTACAGCCACTGGTCCAAGAACCGCGCTTCCCTTAGCCAGACAGCAACGGTGATGGAGTTAACGAAAGTGTATAGGTATCGAGTAGACGACACGCGTATCATTAGTTGAAAACTGTCCCAAGTTCTAGTCTCTAAAATACGAAACTACAAGTGGTCTATGGGTCAAGCTAGAGTGGACTGTTGACCTCTTTGTTTTCGAGTGTGAACGCTGCAAGCACTGTATTAACGCACACTCTAGTTCTAAGCAGGGAAAGGTGGAAATTAGATACAGAGTTGTAAGGAATAAGGCTTAACCGAGCCGTATGACTGTGACTGTCTTTGTCTGTTGTGGAAATTCAGAAAGGAATCATTAAAAATAGGGGATTAAGAGAGGTTGAAGAGTTAAGTTGAGTAGAATAGTTAGGGAGGGAGCAACAGTAGAACAGTTTGCACATTCATCCTGCTGGTAACCCGGTGTACTGGGCGGAAAAACCAACGTAGTGTCTTACTTGCAATTGATGAGTGTGGACTTGGAAGAGTGTTAGGACGCTGGAATCTAGACAAGATGATTACTAAGGATCTTAATTAAAATTAATGCAAAGGGAAGGTCATAGTATACTAGAAATGATGAAGTTTTCCCGGAGTAAGGGATTAACTCTGTCCCAAACCCTATCTTGAAAGCTTAAGAAATTGTGGTTCGTCTGCCTACTGGACTGCCTGGCATGGATGGCCACACCACCTCAAGATCCAATAATTTTGCAACTGTTTGGCCGTTTGGGTGTTATTACCAAACGTTGGTTGCCGGTTTGAATGAAGAAGTAATATAATCAACGAGATTATTGGAATTAAACAGTAATTAAACAGTGGTTCAGCCAAACAAAAAAGCATTTGGGACAGCCTGGTTAGGAGAAATGTGAATGACATCCATGGACTAAAAGTTAAAAACTGTTACTGCATTCATCATTCGGACTGTTAACACCAACACGATAATATGAAGAGGGTTATTCTATTTCTCGTAGATAAAGCGAATGCCACTAAATTGTAAGACATTGAATTGACAGCCTACAGAATATCAAGAAGGTAGTTTAAAGAAACTGTTAAGAAAGCACTACATTAAGTTACCATGAGATGATAATTGTATGATAGACAGGAATATGATGCTCGCTCACTGTTACACGTTAACTCGTATAATTTCTTACTGAAGACCTTAAGACCTGTGTAGTTCCGGTGTCTTGTTGCATCTGAAACCTACTGAGCTGGATAAGTTATTGGGATATTCTGGAGACGTTATTAAGAGCACATTGTTTCTGTGGTTTCAGATGGTTTTGCGACCCCTTCATGACAGTAAATCTTGTGCTGAAATTTCATTCGACAAAATAGATCGGCTTCCCTCTCTCTCTCTCTCTCTCCGGACTTACTCTGCAAATTTCAGTCTTTCGATACAGATGTTACTCGAAATTTCAAGGTGGCCTGGAAAAGCACCCCACTATTCCACGTTCTTCTTTAGATTAATCCAGTGTCAGCGAAGTACTCACTGTACAAAGTATGGACTAGGTATAGCTTATTTGGACTTATTCGTCCAGCACTTGGAATAGGTAATTGAAAAGCCAGCATTCTAAAGAATCTGCCCTAGATTTGTCGTTTGAAATTTAAGAAGTCCGCATCGAGGAAAATTCATCAAAACAAACCTTTAACCACTGAACACCATCGCCATAGTTTTGTGTTGCCAACGAATTCTCAGGATTACACCCATAAGTTAGCAAACGTTACACTTGACAGAGGTCACACAGAAGTATTCAAATTGAGATTCAATTACAAGAAGCCTCCTGGAATAGGTCAACAAACTGCGAACACAGGTTCTTTTTGAAAACTCCACAACCCAATCAAACGGCTTGCGTTAATAACCGTAGATGTAGTCAGTTGATTAAAAGTAAAAATGACTGACACATTGTCCATGTTCATCTCAGTATCAGTTCGTCAGCACTACAGTCTGTGCTCGGAACAGTATCGATCTACAAAGAAATTGGGGGAAATAAAGGACGTCCTCTTTCCATTGTTAGATTAAGGGTCTGGTGTTGTTAGCATGTGATAGAAGGATCATTTGAGCCGAATAAACACAATCCAAGAGGTTACAGTAAATCCATGCATATTGACAAATCATAAACCAGTGAGTTGATTGAAAAACATTGCAAGAAAATTGCTAATGTTAATTGTACATGCTCGAATCAATTTTAACCAGCTAATCAATCGTCTAACACAATTTAATACGTATTTCGAACCACTTTGTCTCAAACATATCCCGCTGCTTAATCCCACCGAACAGACAAAAACTAAAATCATCATTCTGGCTTGACTACTATCTACTTGATAAATGGCAAAGTATTACAAGCAAACTGACCTTTCTCTGTTTCTTCTTGACCGTTCACAACTGGTTCCGGGTCTGCCATGAGTTGCTATGATTTTTGATCGGATGAACAGTACACACTGTGAGCTGAGGCAGAGTTGTTGGTTTTGAGAACCGTGTACCTGAATTAGGGGTGTGAGCAAATCAAATTTACAAAATATTATTAGTATTGCTCTTCCGAACTATTGCCATGACAACTCATTGTAGTAGCATGTAAATTATCATAGCGACTGGTTGCACATGTGGGCAGATAGTCAGTGTAAGCCTGGTAAATGGAGGAAAGAAACTCATTGTTTGATTACGGGCCAATGACGATAGAAGTGGGGTAAGAGAAGAAGCGTTGTCTATCAGAATTGGTTGTCGTACACTCAAGCTACTACTCAGTAGTCAGTGAGCATCAAGGGTGAGGTCTACTCAGAGTACAGCTTGAACAATCAACTCAGTTACGCAATGACAATGCTTACTTAATACAAACAGTTACAGTTTTCCATTGTTGAGCATAAATGTTCATGATTGATTGGTGACCCCACAAAACCGGATAAACCCCAAACTGAAGTATGTCAATGTTACTAAACCAGTAGTTTATGGGCAGAGAAACAAACTTCAGCATTGCCATACTCAGCATATTCTCAAAGACACTATAATTGGTAAATATTATACAAGGATAAAGAACAGGGGAATAGAGTTACGTGTGCGATCCAAACCTCAAAATGAGCCGTATGAGTAAGACAGATGAAACCCACAAGTGGGGCAAAGTTGATTAAAAACAGCCAAAGGATTGAAGGTAAACACGTCTTCAGTTGTGAGGAGGTAACCAACAAAAAATGAAATTTCTAAACAAATGTACGGTTGTAGTGATGATAGACAAAGTGGCAGATTTGTTAATTTAGAAACGGCACTTTAGTGAGTAACCAGGCTTCGGCTGGAATCGAACCAAACGCCGAAGTGTTCACATTAGGAACCTGCCCTACTATTTGAGCTACGAAACCAAAGATGGAACTCAGAATGCTCATATTTAAACCCAGTTCCCCATCTTCCCTACTGAGTCCTACAGAACTTCTCAAGCAGTACATGTATGAAATTCACAGCTTATTTTTACACTTGTTTGGCAAATTTCATGTCACAGTGAGACGGATGGGTTAGTAAGTCCATTTGTGAATTTTCATAGCTCTGTCGTTGTCAGGTACTTACCGTGTGAAAACGAGCTGCCCCTACAGCTGGTTCGACTTCAGGTATAGTATAAATTGTTCACCGAAATATATGACTCATAATAACTGAAGACCAGTATTAACGATAAATTCGTGTTAATGTGATATTTAGATAAAACACTTCAGCGCCATCAACATGCCTACCACGTTGTTGGCGCTGCAAGTGTCATGAACTCAGTTTTTTAGTACTGACCAGGCATACATGTGGTTCTTAAAGTTCTTTGGGAAATGCATTAATCGCTTGTGACTGTATGCCAGATTAACACCAACTGGAAACAAATGATGTAGACGATCCGTTCAGAAGCCGCTTTAGTAGTGGAAGCGACCTTAAGTTGCATGGATTATTACAATTAAAAGTGCCTCAGTTTTATGGGGAAGTTCTGAGAGTAGTATTGTCTGTTTCCTCCAGTCGTTTCACTCAAAGTATATGCGTAAAAGTCTGGGGTGCACACCAGTTAGTACTGACAAGTCGGTTGCAAACGGGATCGTTGAGCCACATTTCCACCGGGCACCTCTGTTTACTGTTTGGTTGGTAAGCCATTTATCTGTACTGACCCATGCAAGAAAATTATGCTCTTTTTCGTGATCAGCTCCAAGACGACCGTCTTGATTCTATCACTTTTAACATTTCATCGTTTCTTCTCAGCATTTGGAACTGCGAACAGCAACTTAGATTTTGTGGCTATCACTACTTCCACTCGCATGGCCAGTCTATCAGCGTGAATCTGAGGCGATAACCAATCTTACAGATAAAGACATCCACTTAGATGTGGGAACAACTTAACAATTTGATCAGGTAATCACGTATGAGCGATCACACAAGGTAGCGGGAAGGCACAACAGTAATGGTAGACAATGACTTAGAACAGTCCGTTAACCCGACTGGGCGTAATTATCTTGTCCTATTCATGCTGCATTCTTACCAGTCGATTAAAAAAATATGACAGCCTCAAGAAAGTTCCAGAATGGGGTGCCTACCGGTCCTGAATGCGTCATTTGTCGTTAAGTAAATGTGTAAACTAAGGCCGTCTTATGGACTGTTGTCTTGAGTCTTATCACAGTAGTGAACTAGTGATTCCAGTTTCAGTCAGTCGGGTGCAGAAATCATGACAGTTTCGTATAGTATATTCTTAACTGCCACTTAGCAATGACAGTTAAATGTACTCTGTAACCATATTTACATACAATAACAAGTTATCTTGTAACTCACAATCTAGCCACAACTGAATGGACACAGGGAAACATCATTTAGTAAATATATTGATAGTTAATAGATATATTTCCGAGAGCATTAGGCCCCTGCGTTTTTTAATTTTGTCTGTAACCTCCTTAAACAAAAAATATTTTCAAAATGTTAATTTTTCCCTGCTTTCTCACTTATATACACAAATTTCTCATTCTCATATACTACAGTTTCTTTTAAATCTCTTCTAGCTGGCTGTTAGATTGAACCATAGCATTTCTCCCTCAGTTTTGCACCAAATGCAATCCAACTTGCACGGATTTAGTATTTCGGACTTGGCGTGAGTAACTTTCAAACGGCAATCTTCTGTTTACAGATGAGACTTCATGACGTTGCGAGAGGCCCGCTTCAGCCCAAGGGTGGGATAATGTTCAAATAAAAGGCCTTTCCAAGCACACACCTTCACTATCTAGATAGTGGGGAATTGGTTTGACCATCAAAGCTGTTTATAACTTCGGGCAATGAGGTTTACATCGATCTCAAGTTACAACTACAGTTCCCCACTTGCGCGATTAGGTTCATTAAATATTCAGAACATCACTGTTAGTCTTTACACATTGTTCCAAAACTTTGTGAACTATTCGGAATATTCTGAAATATATGTACTGGTATTTTTTCCATGAAGATCTACACCCCTAACCTAGTGAACATTGGCAAGCAATGGATCCAGTATACCATAATAAATCTTATCATTTACTGCTTTATCTTACGTAACTGATTCACCCGTTCATTTCTCAAAACCAACCTATCATATACAAACAGATTTTCAGTTGTTTCACTATGCTCAACACTTCTTTCTCTTCAGCCTTCGTACGTGCTCAAGAACACCGTTTGGTGTAATGTAATAATGTCTTCGGTACAATCAAAGGTTGTGAACTCCATGCATGCAAGTAAAGTTTGACCTCGGCCTTATAAAACCATGAGTTCATAAGAAAATGTCCAATCTTATAAGCTGTTGCCTCCCCGAGGTACATAGAACAAAATTTGTTGCAAAGCGAATTAAGACGAAAAAACTTTCTGGAAACATTGTCAACAATGAAGAATAAACAAGTGGAAAAAGGCTGTGAAATGCAGCTTATCAACACTGAGCAGCTTCTGAAGGCAGAACTAATTCCTTATCATACTATAAGAGACGAATGAACTGTCGTTAGCAAGTGTCTGTTACGTGGAGCCCGCTACGTGATACCCGAATCCCTCATTGCAGGTGTACTTAGAAGCGGACATGAAGGACATCCCGGTATTGTATGATGCTTTTTGGCTACAGACTTCTTGACAT